CTCTCCAGAGAGGCTGTGAGCATCTTCTGATAGTGGGCTACACCACACACCCTGCCACAGTGACGGTGTGGAGCACAGCCAGGAGCAGCTCCTCTCTCCCAGTGCTGATCCCCCAGCCCTTCACTGCCCCACTGTGCTCTCCTCCGGCAGGAACCTGCGACAAGCCACATTTCAGCTACTACAGCCCAGGGAAGATGAGGAAGAGCTGGTTAAAATCAGAGTTTTCGTACAGCGTTTTCATTATAGATTCAAATCTATACTGAAATTAGTCAGCCCATGACCTCATGCAACAGCGATGAACAAACAAGAAGATGACAAGCAAGTGTCGATAAGTCTCAGAAGACGTAACATCATTCCTGAGCACAATTAAACACAGCCTTACAAACATCCAGGCTCTGACTGTTCATGAAATCCATATGGAGTCATTAGCCTTCTTCGGTCTGTTTTTCCACCACCCTTAGATGCAGAATCAGAGCCTGACTGTACAAAAACTGACTGAGATTTAGCTGGGCTCTGAATTTAAAGAGAAAGTGCCAGAATCCACAGGCCATTGCAGACAAACTCCCTAGACTGACCAGCCGCATCTTCAGTGCCACGTTAAGCAGCTGGGTCCGTGCCACGGCTAATGGGGGAGTTCAGCAGGAAGGAAACCAGCTGGTCAACAACTGCGTCAAAATTGTGTGTTGCAGGGTAGGTGCTACCTCTCGGGTGATACAGATCGTCAACTAAATCTCATTAAACATGTCCTACACCCTCCAGGAGTTCTCAGCACTACTGCATTGGTCCTCACTGAAGGGCAGTATTATAGAGTCCTCGATTTCAGTGCAGGATCACTTTGACTGACAGCTTTCTTATAAAATATAGGTCTAGAATTTTAATCAATTCCTTGAAGCCTTTCTTTGGGCAAAGCGGGACACAGTTAACTTCAACATTAGTTTGGCTTTAATAAGATGACCACAGAATTAGGACGCACAACCTTCTTTTGAAATGATGGCCAAATCTGCCTGTTACTAAACTTTGATATCATATTTCAAATGGGAGAAGAACAAGATTCCTAAAGTATAAATCTCATGAATAGATGTTATGAAGTTGGAAGTATTGCATTATAACTTAACTAGCTGCCCAGCTGAGATAAAGGTATTCCTTTACTTTTCTCATTCGACAAACACACATTTCCTTGTTTTCAGTCCTAAATACTGAGACTAAGTCTGGTACATGTGCTGACATATATAAAGCACATCTCTGTTTCCACTAAACTATATGTTTATGGAGCACGTGAAAGCAAACAGGCTGTTGGGACCCAGGTCTGCAGATAAAATTGTTTTAGAGAGCTGCTCGAAGGAGGTCACAGCTCTAAATCCTCCTTGTGTGAAGGTAAGCTGCGTGCCCAGCTTCCCAAGGCTCTTCCAAAAATACTACCTTGAATACTGGACATATCTGGGTTAAAACAAAAGTTAAAGTTTACCATTGCTAGCAACAGTATGAGGAGAACCATCAGGAAGGAAAACGTCTCTTCTCTCACGGATGCCTTGAAGCAAGAACAGCACAGAGATCAGCATCAGGGACCGCAAAGCAAGGGCACGGCACGAGGGATTCACTCGTTTCCGTTACCACGTTTGTCTGTCAGCGAAGGAGAGATCATCATGTGGTAGCAAATGGTAAATAAATTATATTTTGTCCAGGGGCTTGACTTATTTACATTATTACAAATGTCAGATAACAGGAGAGCTGCATAACTGCTGTGTAAAAATGTTACAGACTGCTCCCAAACACAGCACATTCACTCTTTCTCTCAAGACACATTTTTGCAGGATCAGATCCTTATTCGGTTCTTTCAATGCTTTTTCACAAAAAAATGATTTCTAATTTAGGGAGGAAAAGTTTTATTTAATTATCTTCTCTTTTTTTTTTTTTTTTTTTTTTTTTGTTTGAGTTGACCAACTGCATATCTTTCACTGGCTTTATCAAAGAAGCCACCAGTACCAGAGCACGTCTAATTTTAAGTGGGCTTTAGTCGGCAGACTTAAAACTGATCATGCATTTTCGTTTCAGTAACTTGCAATTTCTGCACTCTTTGATAGTGCACTTTAAAGAACAAGTCTTCTTTAATGACAAAAGCTTAAAAGAAATGACCTTTCTGAACAAAATATCAAAGCTTAGAAAAGATAGTTCCTTGAAAAAAAAAAGTCTGAATTAAAATGACCTTGTGTTCTGAAACTTTTCATACAATATCTGACGTCTTACTTTTCCTTTGTACTCTCAGAATGAGACCAAGTATAATTTAGTATTGTGTGGTGCCTCCAGTACATTTTGTGATTTGGGAAGGACTTGCATTAAGGTAACTAAAAAAAATAAATCAGATCCCATATACACTCTCTATCAAGACTGCTCGTCATTAGAATCAAAGCTGTGCATGTTTTTCAGAAAATTCAAGAAAACAGTGCAAGGTATTCTAGTGATTGCAAATATTTTTTTCTAGTCACAAGAAAATCTTTTTCTGTGAAGCAAAATCATTTCTCAGTTTGAAACCACAGTTGGTAGAGATTTGAGCAAGTAACAGGAGTATCTGCTGTCACCAGTACAATTAAAGCACTGTTGCAGAAGAAAGCAGTGGGCCAGGAGAAGGAGGGAGGTTGTATCCCTTTTCTTCCAACTGCACCAGAAATAAGCATATTTGTTACGTGTAACACAAGAACTGTGAGTGGCACTGAAATAAAGTGTCACCTTGATAAGGGTCACCTCCCTTGATACTGGTGAAAAATGTTATGATGTTTTTTTCTTGCAGGGTTTTATATGGAGTGAAACAATCTTCTCTCACAGAGCAAAATCAGTAAAATAAATAAATAAAAATTACAAATAAAGCTGAAACCATGCTCAAGCCAGTTTCACCAGAGCTTGTTTTGTGGACAGTGAGTTCAACTACTGGCACCTGGCACTCCCTTACTTAGCGGGTTAAAAGAGAGGTAGAGAGCAAATAATATGTATAAAAACATTTATAATTCTGCACTTCAGACTCTTAACTCTTATTACAAAATTCATCGAAGAAATGTTAACAAAAACTACAAGAGAGCTCCAACCACCCTTGAATTTAATCTCTTATCAGGTTTATAAGCACCTTCAAAATGGTCCTCACGCTGTATTTAATGCCTGAGTGAGTTTCTCAGTTTTAAAACTCCCAGATTGACCAAGATCTACTTTTCTCAAGCTGCTTTTTGATCATCAGCGACATCAGCAAGCCAATTCCATCAAGAAGAATGAAATTGAGGCCTGAATTCAACCAGCTAGAAGAGGGTCCACGTGTTTCTTTATGGATGTACCGCTTTCAAAAACACTATAACCACCCAGGTACCGTGCAAAACCACAAGCAGAACAGCAGAACCGAAAGTGCCTCATTTCCTTCACACGTGAGGAGAGAGGTTTCGCTGTCCCAGGGTCTGTGGTTTGGACACAGGGCAATACCCAGCGGGTAAATCCCGGCGCACGCAGCCTGCAGCCCCGCGAGCTCTGGGTGCTTCTCCCAGAGAGCCCAACCGTCGCTGCCGTGCACCTCTCTGCGCAAATACACTTCATTTTACTGCCCACAATTAACTAAATGCACTAACAAATTCCTCCTACTAAAATTCACCACTGCCCTAGGCGAGGCTTTGGGGCACCTGCCAGCATCCCGTCCCTTATCAGAGCCATGACAACCCCTTATCTATAATTAGAAGAATCACTTGTTGATTCAAGGAAGGTGCAAAACCTGCCCGGGCCCAGACCAGGCTGACAATGAGCAGAGCACCCAGCAGAGTCGGAGCCTGTATTTGGCACGGAGCTCCCTGCCAGGCGGTGGGGGTGGATGGAGCCCAGCCTGCCAAAGCCTCTCCTCACCCAGCTCCGTGCCAGGCGCAGATAAGAGCGCAGCTGGCGAGCTGGGACTCAGCGGGACAGCTGCCTCCAGCCACGGGCGCTCAGGACCCTCCGAATTGTGCCCGGACCGCGGCATGCGAGCGCCGGTGCCGCCGGGGCGAGGGAGGAAAAGCGACCGTCCCTGTCGGCAGCGATTGGGGGGGGGGGGTGTCTTGCTGCAGCTGGACTTAGAAGACAGGAATTTCTGGCCCCCTCTCAAGCACTCAGACCATTAACTCCGCCGTGATACGAACGCTGCCGGCAAAACGGTGACCAGGGTGAAAAAAAAAAAAAAAAATTCTATTCTTGTATTCAGCATATCTAAATTTACAGATTACAAATGTACTAATGTACACTCTGGCTTACGGATGACCAAGAGATAAGGAAGCCTTTCCTATGCTTGGGAGGCAGACCCAGGACAAGGATGAGTCCCTGCCCGGGTCCTTCAGCTTTCCGCTGCTGCTCAAACCTCTGCTTCCATTTATCAGGATCATCCAAGAGAGCCTGCACACGCCCATGCAGAATCAAGGCCATATCAGTTATGACTTTTCCAACAACGCCCCATAACTGTGTTATCAGCAAATGACAAAGGACTTTCCTGTGACCAGTGTATGAAACCCCAACGATAGATATAACTGGCAACGGTGGCTGCGTTCGTCATCACGGTGTTTTCATTCTCACTCCAAGATTTTTCCTTGAAACACAGCATGAAATTATCTTCCCAGTTAACAATACAAAACTCTCATATGCACTGTGGCTACTTAGGTGAGTGGGATGCCCAAGCAGGACAATAATGTCAAAACAAAATAGTACAAAATAATAATATTTTAATATTATGTAAACACATGAACACAAAACAATGTCAAAATATGTTAAAATATCTTGGGCAATAATAATAGAAAATGGGATTTTCTTCATGTATAAAAGTGAAAAGAATGGTACTGGGAAGTAATAACAAAAATATTAGTAGAGGAAACTCTACTCGCTCAGTAAGCAAGCTCAGCATGGAGTCAAACACACAGTATATTGAAAGGATAAGTCTGTAATAAGATAATGATAAAAAAAAAATGGAAGGAAGATACAACTGAAAACATGCTGGCACAAGCAATGGATGTGTTTTCATGAACTTCATTACATTTTATGTGCTAACAAAACAGCCACTGATCTTTGCATTTTAATCACAAGAGCCAAATCTTCAAACCTATTCAAAGCAGTCCATTTGGCAATCGAAGAAATCCAACAGCTCCAGCAGCTACCTGAAAATGAACAGGTTCCCATTAGTTATATCTGATTATTTTTACTATAAAACCACAACAGGCTGTGACCGGGTTGGGTCCGGTCGGCAGCGGGGCTGGGTACGGCTGTGCCGGGTGCTGTGCCGGGTGTTCAGGAGCACGCCGGGCAGCGTGCCACCGAGGAGCCACGGGCACGCGTGGAAGCAGCAAAAAGCGCGAGTTCAGTGGAGAAGGGTCAGGTAAATGCTAATACAAAATCTAGTGTGAATGTAGCGTTGGAAAAGAGATCTGGTCAGGAGGAAAACTCCCCCGAAAGGAAACAGCATCAAAGCTTCTCGGAGTTTAGGAGAAGAGGCGGCGGCAGCCCAGCCCGGAGAGGAGCGGCTGCGTGCCGTGCTGGCTCTGCCCCTGCCCTTCCTCTCCGTCAGGACGTGGCTGGGGCTCCATCCACCCCAGTGGTTTGGTCGTTGGTGGCCTGGCCTGATCTAATGGTACGTGATTATTCATCTTTTTAAACAGCTCTTTTTCCTAACTGTGAAGACGCTAATTCAGGTTAAGCTTGAGGCAAAAATCATCCCTTGGTAACGCTGCTGCTGCTGTTGGAGAGAGTTTAGAGACTACATTACAGCTTTGTATTTATCTAACAAAGTTACCTAGGCTGGACATCTTACCAAGAATCTATGACATTTCAGTTCTCCATTAGCTTTAGCTAATTCTCATTAACACATAGTTTAGGATTAATATTTTCAGGCAACTTTCACTGTGCTAACATTTTTACAAAAGTTTAAAGATCTTACAAACTTTTACACTGTTTTTACATGCACACGTTCTTATTTGCAGAAACCCTCATGTGAGATATGCAAGCCTCATCAAAGTCTATAAATATAAAAAAGATGGAGTGGCTTTCCTAGGAAGTTTCCTTTTACTCACCTCTCCATGTGAATCACCTACTCTAAAGGCACAGCAAGGCTTTTTATTGCTGCAGCACTTGCCATAATTTATATTGGAGGGTGTAAACGTCTGAAAAAAAGCTCAGGCTCATGAAGATCCGGTACTTTGAAGATGTGATCTGTAATATTACGCATTGCATCATTGTTTTCTATCTTAAAAGGAGGTGGCATCACCGCAGAGCTGCAGCTGTGCACCGAGCCACTGTCTCATCATGAACGTCGAGGCAAAGCCCAGACTTGTAATGCACCTGCAAGTTCTCTAATCTTGCTCTAATAGTACTGACTAAGCACTGGGAAAATTCTCAGACGCTTGTTTACTGAAAATAAGGATCTTTTAAAACTGCAACCATATTTGAGTGTTTTAATTAAGCCGTAAAACTTCAATAACTGGGATCCACAGGTGTGAAATGGTACAAATTGATCAAAGGTAATCACCTACCTTCTGGCATGGTAGGCTTTCAGCTCTTCCTGGAGGACAGAGACTCTTTTCTGCAGAATATTTACCTGTAAAATACATCCCACATGAAAATGGCGTACAAAATTCTAATTAATAAATCTGTGTTCGTTTCATGAAAGGTGTTTTTCTGGTCTATCCTGCCTAAATAAAATGCAATAACACTTTAGCTGCATACTGGAATTAATAGTTGATAGAAGATTGTTAGCATGGCTTCCCCGGCCCCGCTCTAGCTGCACACTATCTACTCCCTTAGGAACAGAGTCAAAACAGTTTTTAAACTCAGCTGGTGGTACGATATGGGTTATGCAAAGGTTTGGGAGCTCCAGTTCTACTCTCAACTCTCATATGGTGCCTGTGCTCTGATCTCTGCACCTTTGCCCTTGTGATGAAGGTACTCACCTGTTCCTCAAGTGTATGAAAATTAATGTTTATTAATACACTGTGGCCATTTTTGGACCACTCACCAAGAGCAGACAATTGGGCAGCGTACTTTATATTTAGCAACATTTTTAGAAAACTGTGCTGAAGCCTCAAGTATTTTTTTTTTGTTTTTTTTTTTTTTTTTTTTTTTTGTTTTTTGTTTTTTGTTTTTTGTTTTTTTTTTGTTTTTTTTTTTTTTTGTTTTGTTTATTTTTATCATTGCTTGGTGCTTTTACTCAGCCTATCCTCTTCATCCTCCTCCAACAATAAATAATCCTGGCAGGTGCAGAGATTCCACTGCCCTTATTGTCTGATGTTTTCAAGCAGGAATTTCAACAATTTTCAAAGACCAGGACACCTGTGCTTCAGAAAGAGCCCTGCTTACTGAGTGGTCTGCGACGACAGCGTACTGCTGGAAATACAGCCAGCAGCTATGTATTTCTGGGATAGCACCCAGGTTTTAATGTGTGTAGTTACTTTTACTCTTTTGAAATGCTGCTGCCGCTTACAGAAGCCCTGCAGGTAGGTATCAGATTCTACTTTTTTTTTAACTCATTAAAAGGTATGGTGTTCTTGTGTTAGCTGCAGAGTAACGCTTCCTAGCAGGCAGTGCTAATAGTCAACCACACTTTAAAAATAGCTTTTTACTATCAACTGGAAATAGATTTCCCCAGTAGATCCTTAACTCTTCATTCCCCACAACTATTTAAATGAGAAAGAACATCACTTCCCTTAGGTATCCCTTGGTATGTAAGCAGAGTGTTTACAACCATAGTGTTGAAGTTGTGTCACTACTAGTACGTAGGAATATGAAAGTTTTGCCTATGAAAATTTCCTACTTCTATTAAAGGTGCACTTTGCCAGGGGAAGTGTCTCATGCATAGCAAAAATTGCTACATAATTACCTTTATGCATTGTGAAGAGAAAAGAGGGGGAAAACCCAAATACATTAAATTACCAACCATCTCCATATCTAGTTGGTACTAGATGATATTTAAGGTCCCTTCTAACTCGAGCCATTCTATGACTCTATAAGAAAGAAAAAATGGTCCTGAAAATTGGTCTTAGGGGTGTGCTGGTATCAAGCCTAAACTTGCATGCCGTATCCTCAGGGCTTTTGCTCTTCCCAGAGCCCACGGGCAGCTCTGAGTCACCAGCACTGCCCTGTCTTTTTCTTATTTCTTCCCTTCAGCCCAGGACAGATCCCAGACCTTCCCAACACGTTTAAATGCACAGTCCTGCACTGGGCCATACGCCAACACTGGCAGTGTTTGCTTTGGATTACCATTATTCCACTTCTCCTATCACCCTTCTTTATTGCTATTTACCCTTCCTCATGTGAGTTCAGGCAGCGATGACATTTTGTTTTCTTCCAGATCCTAATGTACTGAATAGGAAAGCATCACATAACTTCTGTGGGAACCATGTACAAGAAATACAGCTAATTCATTAGTAGTTCCCTGTTTACAATGGCATTTTGATATTTCAATTAGCCAATTTAATAGTCTATTACATATAAATAATATTGATTCGGCATTATTCCAGATGAGCTAGTGTTTTACAATATTAAAGACAAAGCATTATAGAAGTCTGTTAGAGCCTCTTTCTATAGGAAAACGTAGAAATAACACAATGATCATTTTGGCTAACATTTTAAAAGAAACATCCTATTTATTATATAGGCTGAAAAGAAACCAAAATTATTTCTAATTCTCTTCTGCACCTTTTACACGCAACCTTTAAACAATTCCTTCAGGAGAAACTTGGTAAGGAAGATGAGAGGTAATTGTGTGCTATATTTGAAAGGTTGAGAAAGAAACCATAATACTAAATACAGCACAATTTCTACTTTCAACTGCTAACTGAAGCAAAATCTGGAATCAAAAGATGCTGTATGATAGCTCTCAAGGTGAGGAAACTGGAGGAGAAAAGCCTTCTGAGGGATGACTGAGAAGCATGTGAGTGCTTCCATAATTTCATGTGGAGACTTATTCAGTATTTTTGGCCAAATTTTAGACAGTCATAATTTCTTGTCTAGAAGAAATGGTTTTTATCCAGTCCAAAAAGTTGAAGACAAATAATAAGAATTTACCTGAGATTTTAAAGATAAAATGGTGTCTTCAAGTTCCTGTCTCAAAGATGCTGGCATCAGACCTTTGAGTGTAGTTTCATATTCTTGTCGTATATGGGTCATCTGTAACAGAACAAAAAGAAATTTATATATAGATGGCTGCTTTTGGAAGCCGGGGAGTAACTTTTTTGCTTTTGCCCAAATTGGAGTCCAAGTAAATGCAGAGTTGTGATATCAAGGAAAAGGGAAGGAGATTGAAGAATGATCAGTAAAGACATGTAAAGAGCAAAAGAGGTAAAAAAGAGGAAGAAAGGAAAAAGAAAACATAAGAATAAAGAACATATGGAGAGGAGGAAAAAAATAATGAAAAGGAAACAGTAAGGCATTTGTTGGGACATGGTTTGAAGAAGCAATAACCATTTCTAACTCTGTCTCAATAGTGATACACTTTGCAAATTGATAGTCAGAAGTTTTCTTTTTTTCTTTGGTGGGATCCGAACCAGGTCAGTAGAGTGATACTTGCCTCATTACTCCCTTAGACAAACCAAATTATTGTTTTCCAAAATATTTTTACAACATTTCTCAACTTCTAGGTGCTTTTAAGGACTTTTTTTTTATTCAACATGCAACCATTTTTTATGGCACTTTTTGTCTTCCTCAACTTCACTGAGGCTATGGGACTTTCAACAAATAGTTTTGAGCCGCTTAGACATGTTACAAGATCAGATGTTCACACCAAAACAATTACATCTAAAGGAGGACATTTTAGTCCGTAACCTTATTCAACAGATGCTGAGTAAAGAGTAGCTACAAAGCAATGTTATATGAAGACAGATCAGCTGGAAAGATTGTGTTTCATATCTCTTCAGTGCGGTTGTATTTGCTGAATCTTGACCCAGGCAAAGTACGAAGAGTCTGGCTCAGCTCTGTCCATCGAGTCGCACAGGACTGCTCACACACTTTATTACTTGGCTGAATCAGGGCTTCACATCTGTACTTCCAATAGGATTAACCGCTTAATTCAAATTAAGCAAGTACTTAGGTGTTTTTCTGGATTAGCAGCCGAATATGTAAATAAAGGATAAAAGGGATTCAATATCAGATTAATTTATAAAGTATCTTTAAACTTTCAAATTGAATCTATTTTCCAATGATTTACACACCAACAGCATTTTGTGCTAATTTTGTTTTAGTCACCAAATTGCTTATATCTACCATTGCAACCACAAATCAAAACCTCAGTCCTACATCTGAGGAAGCCACGAGCTGCAACTTCCAGCTCCCAGCTTGCAAGGAGCACACACGCTTACACACGTGAGAACTGAACACAAAGTTCAGTACAAGATGTGCCAACTACCATCTTATGGTAAAAGCAGGTCATGCCAAAATATGCATTATGCGTAATACAATTATCAATACAAAAGGAATAAAACAATCTGATAGAACTTTAGGAAAATTCTGTCTGAGTCATTCTGACATGCAGAAGAAATCTCCAAATCTCTATGCAAATAGGCAATTAGAGGCTTTCCTTGTGAACTGCAAGTAAGTGATGCCATTATGCAAATCTAAAGGAAAAAAATGGTGAGAGAGGAAACCTTGTTTGAACCCTGCTTGTATATAAGCCAGTGATCAAAATTTATGTTTCTGAAAGTTACTCCAATAAATTTACGCTACTATTTCTATAAAGGCTTACAAAGTTATGCATAGGTGCTTTGCCAGGATAAATATTTTCTGAGCCAACAGCTCATTTGGGTGGGGACCTTGATAGAGCAGAAACATATATTTCAGTTAATTCAACATGTTACATTTGTTCTTGGTGAGACGGGAGCAGAAACAGGCAGCTAGAACAGCCAAATTCTTTTATTTCCTAAATTCTGAATAAAGATCTATTTCACAAGTGGGAGTATCTGGATGATCACCTTGCCAATATGTTGGGGTGACCCAACCAGCGCAGAAACTCCATCACGCGGCCTGACTCACGCTCAGGCTCTGCATTTACAGGCGATGCAGATGTCAGGAGCTGAGCCTGGACCCCGATACAGCTCACTACACCACGATCTAGCCATGCCGACAGAGCACCCAGGACCCTCACCAGCGTCCTCAGGTGCCAGGCACACAGCAGGAACCCCCTATTACAATTTTTCCTAGAGGAAAGTCAAGAAAGTTTCATTCTAAGTGGATGCAACAAAAATTTTAATACAGCTCTGCAAGTGAAATAATAATGTTCTAATTGTGCAATGGTCTTCTTTCAACCAAGTCACTGGTTTTAATAGTTTAATCTGCATGTGTCCTCTAAATACATGTTTTCACAACACTGTTAACGTTTGCTATTAACTCTGCAAAGCAGCAAGGGGACTGTTCCCTTTTGACAAAGGTGCTTCTTGAAAAGTCAGAAGAAATATGTACTGTGCTTTAAAATATGGATATATATATTACTGGGTTGGGTGAAAACGGAGAAAGAAAATGAGAAGCAAGCCATGGTAGCTGAAGTATTGCTTGAGGCTGATTTCTTACTCTATTTCAAAGAGAAGACATCCACTTTTTTTTTGCGGTGAGAACTGTTCTCTGGGATACAAGTGCAATTTGTCTGTTTGCCGAGACAAAATATTTTACTTTCAACTGTGCTCACTAATAATTGCATCACAATAAGATGAAAATAAGGTCCCAGCTGTTTCCTGTCATATTATGATAAACAACATGTTGATATTTTTGGCTGAAGTTACTATCAAGGTTTATTGACCCAAGAGATTAAAATAGTGTATGGCAAAAATCTAAATCACTTCTTATAACTGAAAAATAACATACAGTGGGCTAATGTATACTAATTTTAATGGGAGAAGGTTTTTATTTTTTAATACTTACTTTTGACCAATGAAATCTATGTCTGCAGGGATTTTTTTTTTTTTTTGTGCCTTAAAGGCTTTTTTGTTCTTTTATAGCCTCAAGCTTCCTCCCTAGGATCCACAAATACTGTGTCTCCTCTCGCACTCTTGAGAGATGCTTAAAATTGCAATTCTTCAGCCCTCAGGAGGGCTTTAGTCTGCTGGATGAGGATAGCTCTATTTCATTTACTGTTGTGTTCGTTTTTCTTCAGCCCTGAGAAAGCTTTTTTTGAAAATTCATTTTGGTGAGTTGATTTAATCCATGAACCCCCAGGAAGGTTTTATAGCTTTTAATATTAAGCTGCCACACTGGTCTTTGTTTATTCAGGTTGCTGGCTAACATATGAGGTTTAAAGTTTTACCATCAATCATCTTTGGTGTCAGTAGAAACAACTGAAAGCTGAAGTTGCCACACATAGCTCATGTATGCTTAGTCACACGATAAATTAGAAAAAAAAAGAAGAGACAAATATTCACACAGTTATACAAAGTGATGCAAAAAGCAGGGAAGTTATGATTTCTCTGACTACAATAAGATATTGAGAACATTCTCAAAAGAGATAAAAGTTGGTTTTGATGCCCAGAAGAGAACTATCTAAACCTGAGCTTTCCAAACCAAGCGGTCAGGCCTGGCCCAACACTTTTCAGCAGTATGAGTTTCAATTTTACTACTTCAAGGAGTGTTCAGGCGCCACAATTCAGTTTTGCAGCTACTCATTAGTTCTAAAAGCTTCAGCAGGATGTTTGTGGGGCTGGGTTAGGAACAGCGAGGAGCACAGCACCCATCAGGAGCAAGTCCCATTGGCACCTAGCTGCACTGAGTCACTCTCCTTCCTTTTTGAAAGAAACAACCTAAGCACATCCAGGAGAAATACAGTATCTTCAAGATGACCAGATGCATTTTAGTCCATGTGCTAAGAACAGCCTGCAAAGCAGAGGATATTCTGCTTCTCCTCTATGCTTTCCTATACAGCCACAACCACACCATATCTTATTTGGGTTCCCGATAGCCAGGTCTCCCCTTCTTGCTTCTGAGAGGACTGTGATGCTGAGTTTATCATCCAGAACATACTAGCCCTGGTGAAAAATCTCCATCTCACTAGAAAAAAAAAAAAAAAGTTAAAAAAAAAAAACAAAACAAAACCAAAACAACAAAAGATGCAATCTTCTCCAGATCTTTCAACTGTAAATTACATTACTTGAACCAGAGAAGCATAAGGAAACTGCAAAAGAAACTCTGAAGTATACATTGCCAAAGCAAATGAAGGGACTACAGAAGAATTGTTCGAGTTCCCCTGAAAAAAAAAATTGTCTTGAAGGGCATGAAGTTAACATTTTGTTTATGTCAGATAAGAATCAAAAGGCAGTTCATTTAACTAAAGTTTTGTGGGTTTTTTGGTATCTTAATTTCTGCCTGTTTATAATATTTGTGAAGGATAATAATTTCATGTGTGCCAGGAAATACTAGGATAGTGACCAAAAGGCATAATTAAGATCATTTAATTATTATCAAATTTTCTCCATGTTTCAGGGGGAGTAAGATGAGAAAAGTAATTTCCTGTCTCTCAACTCCTTTCCTGCATTATTTAAGCAACGGTATGTTATCATGCTATTTAAAAGAGAAATTTCTTCAAAAAGGTTATGTGTCTGTTCTGCAATACCCATCTCTGAAAGAAGACGTGAAAGATCTGCTGTAATAAATCTGAAGATGGGTTAGAGGACCAAAAAGGTAAAAATAACTCCTTCAGCCTTAGGCAAATCATTTAATCTAAGTCTAAAGTCTCATCCTTCTGAATGAGGGTAATGATGATTATGATGATGATAATAATAATAATAATGATATTGCATAGGTCAACTTCATTCAGGTGGTGTGAAGATTGAAGTAAATTTCTGAAAGTACTTTAAAAAGGGCAAGTGAAGGACAAATTACTACAATGCCATCCCAATTAAAAAAAAAAAATCAACAAAAAACCCCCCCACCAAACAACCCAAAGAATGTCAAAGCAATGATTAATCACTCCTTGCTTTCTCCCTAATTGCCGTGACTCCTCCTGTTCTTCTCAGCACTCCAAAACTCTAAGTGAGCGTAGTTCTACACCCATAAAATGCTACAATTCTATATGGGCCCCTTCCTCCGTCACCTGGCCTGGGGGATGTTGGGCAGTGTCTATAACCCAGGAACCAAATCTACCAAAATCTGCAATTTCCTTACATTTTAGATCTCTCAGGTTTCTGTTGTAA